TGATGGAACACAATGGACACATAACCAAGCTCACAAGTCAGTGACAAACCCTCTGACTATCCTGTCCAGGTGGTAACCAGAAAGTTAAACGCTGGCTGTCCTAAAGACTGACAAATAATTCTTCAGCCAAACAGGCTTCTCATAAAGTTCCCTATATAAATGATCTCAGAAAACAGCTAGTTTAGTTGATAAGCAGTTCTCCCAAGGGATCTAGAAAACACCTTAGAGTTCTTCCCTGACCTACACATTAGAACTGTTTGCACAGTCAGAATGCCTCCCCATCTAATGAGGAATTTCTTTTAAAGAAACTGTCTGGGTGAATGATATATATATGTTTTATTGTGTTATTTTAATTAACCCTGTAACAATTAGAAATTTTTGAGCTCCTTTGAAAATATAATGTGTGTAATGGTTTATTTCTTTAATACTCAAAAGAAATGTTATTCTATCATACAATATATTTTCATACTATTTCCTTTAAAGAATATCTACATATGCTCTCTACTTCAGTCTTTTTTTCAGTCTTAAATTATTTATGTGTATTAACTGGTACTTCTTTTTTAAAAATCAACTTTAATGAGGAGTTTTATAATAAAATACTCTCATTTCAAGTGTGCATTTCAATGAGTTTTGGCAAATTTCTATACCTGTGTAACCACTAGAAATGGGTTCCTAAAAGGAGACCGCTGTGCTATCCAACTATAGATGATTCACTAGCACACAAAGGGAATGAGTCCTACCCCCTCTGAAATGCAAAAGTTCCCTCCACAGCTCCTCTGGCAGATGGCAGTGCAACCTCTACTTAAACACTTCTAGTGCTGATAGGTCTATTATTAAGACAAGCCATACCATTTCCAAACAACTATAACCATGTAAGAGAAAGGGTTCTTTTCAAACCCAGTATCTGCTCACCCAAAGCAACACAAAGTTCAAATACCTTTTCCTATTTAAATATCTTTCACAAACACCCTGCTCCTACCTCTCCTATTCACCTAGTGACTGCTTTAGCTAGAAATAGCCGTTCTTTCTTCAGTGACGTTAAAGGTTTCCAGAACCCTCCCCCACCCTGGCCCCTCTTCCCTGACAGTTTTCCAATTTCCCTCTTTAAGGACTAGAAACAAGTCATTGTATGCGGTTTGACCAGGGCAGAGTACTGGAGCAATTACCTCCTAGATTTCTACTCAAATATTTGCTAAGTGCCCAGCATGTGCCAGGCACTTAAATATAAGTAAAACTATCTGGCCTCAGTAAGATCACATAATTCCATGAATACAGACTAATTAGCTATTTCAACAGTTGTTTCTAGGTTTTAGCTCCTATTGATCTTGGAATCTGTTAAAGTTTGCATACATTGTAGTCAAAGCTGAATCATTTCTTCCAACCTAAGTACATGGCTTTACAGATGTCCCTGATAGATTTCATTACTTTGTTTTTTGCCTTCTTCCAATTGTCAGTGTAACAACTCCAACAAGATATTGACTATTGTTATTACTGAAGCAATTAATAGTTTATAGGGGAAAAAACGTGTTCTCTGATTTCTCTTTATTGAAAGTAAATGCAGTTACTAAGTTGGGGGTAAATCAATCTGTGTGGGTTTAACTGTGCTGCTGTTGCCGGTTAAGTGCTGTTGAGTCGGTTAGGACCCATAGCCACCCTGTATAGGGTTTCCGAGGAGCAGCTGGTGGGTTTGAACTGCTGACTTTCTGGTTCAAAGTCCAGTGCTGATGCTAAAGCGCTACACCAGAAGGCCAGGGTCTAACTATGGGAATACACAGATTATTTAAACAAAAGTCAAGCTGCGTTGTGTTTATTTCATGGTACTACAGGGTCTTGCTATGGTGCTAGGATTAGCAAAGTCGGCAGTCCAAAGCATCAGAAACTCTATATTGGGGTCACTATGAGTTGGAACTGACTCAATGGCACTTAACAACAACACTGCATTCTGTAGCTAAATGGGGGCATATCAATTATTCTTTAATTTTTAATTGCAAGCTCTTTTCCTGACAAATTTCTATTGATCCTTCAAGGCTAAATGCAAATGTCACCACTCTGGTGAAGATTTCCAGATTCCTATCCATATGGTGGTTCCTTCCTCTGCATTTTTTAAGGCCATTTATCCATTTACATATATGAGATGAATGATGAATGAACAATGAAACCATGACCAACCATGATGGTTTGCTAGGCCCTCTCCCAGGTTTAGCACTCAAAATCCCAAATCCTGGGGAATCCCTCAGTCCTAAGCACACCGGATTGGTTCCCCAACCTGATAGGGAATGCCCCCAAAGAACTATTTAATTAAAAATAACCATTATTTGCTAGGGGTCAAAATCAGGTACTTCACCAGCAGTACAGTATTTTAAAAATTTAAGACAGCACTAAAAGTAGTTACGATTATTCCATTTTACAGAAGAAGACATGAAATTGAGAGGTGGAGTAACATGCTCAAGATCACATAGGAGGTCTGGAATTGAACCTAAGTTTGTCTGACTCAAAAAGCCTGTGCTAGTACTGCCACAGTATATTGCCATGGTAGGGTCCTGTGGATACATAGTGCTCACTGAATAAATACAAGAGAATTTGTAATCACTTATGGGTCATCATCCTTCAGCACTCAGTGTGGGTCTGCTAAAATACACATGTTGGTACTTGCTCTTACAGGAAGGCTAGCATGATAGGAAAAACACATAAAAAAGCAGTTTTATTTCAACTTACTTTTATATTAAGTAACACAAAGAAAACAGGCAGAAGATCTAAATGCCAACAAACTCATTGTGCACTGTTTACTCACAAAGATAACATGAAACTTTCATGACATTACCATTTAAGATACTTGGTTATGTGTAGAAGAGAAAATTTAATTGCTAGGCCAGACTCAGGAGTACTGGTGTGGTGCTGCCAGATAATGTGCTGGACCACAAGGTCAGTGGTTCAAATCTACCAGCCGCTCCTTGAAAACCCTATACAGGGTTGCTATGGGTCAGAACCAACTCCATGGCACTTAACAATAACAATGCCAGACGCAAGGAGCTCTCTGCAGGTAGAATTTCATGAACTAATGGAATACAGGCTAACACTTAGCAAGGAAGGCGCTCCCTGAAAGTCAGCTTGCCATTTGTTGATACTGGAATTTGGTAAACCACTTCAGCACTGGCATGCATGTTATGACTTACATTTTTAAATGATGCAGTGAGTGTCATACCTTTCTTACACTAGTTGCAGTTGTGACTCTGACAACCAAAAAGTATGCTCCATCTTTGGATTTTGACTTTCTCTCTTTTCTTAATTAAACACTAGGATTATAGAAGTTACAAAGCAACCCTTCCCCAAACTGAAAGAAGTGGAACTATGGGGATTATTAAATCAGAGGCCCAAGGGAGAAACTTGTAAGACAAAAGTCTCTTGTAGGGCAAAAGTCTCTCCACCCCAACACTCCCACCTCAAGCTACCATTGTATGGAGATGTGCAAAACATTTGCTATCTCAGGATGATCCTCCATCCGGGCTCTGAGCCCACTGCCCCCCCTCTAGGAGGAGTGGTGTCTGGCTCCCCCATGAGGAGAGGAGGACACCAGGAGTCACAAACCCAGCCCCGGCGCCACTTCCATGGTTAATCAGTTTACCTGCGATGTGTATTTGACTAGAACCTCCTGGGGACCTTCCCTGGCCACCCAGGGCCAGCGGATAATTTAAAAGCTCTTCAAAGCCAGAGCCCTACTCCCAGCCAGCCCAAGACTAGAAACTTGGGAGGGGGATATGCTTTACTCTTCAAAGTGTGAACAAATGTAAAAAGATTTTAGCACTTAGTAGGTAGTCAATAAACGTTAACTTTGTTCCATCCCCCTTCAAACATCTAAATCCAAACCTGATTTTCCTCTCCCTTCCTGAAATTCCAAAAGGTCATCTTCATTCTTAACTAGTGGTTGCCACTTCTCTTTCCCCGGTGTACATGCCCTTTCTCAGACCTAAGGTCATTCACTTGCAAACTGGGGAGAAAGGGGAATATATTTGGAGTTTTTTCAAGGCTGACATTCGTGTAAATAATAAATTGCACCCATTACTACTCTTATTCCTAACTCCAGGCCTTAGGACAAGAGAGGCTCAGCACATTCATGCAGCTAAATGAGCCCTTCTTATCCCGCAGTCTGGGTTTAGAAATAACAATAGTAACGGGTACAGTTTTTGATGTGGAGCTGCAGGATAATGCACTGGACAGCACGGTCAGTTTGAACCGAAAGGTCAGGGGTGGGGGGGGTGTTTCAAACCCACCAGATGTTCCTTGGAAACCCTATACAGGATTTCTATGACTCGGAAATGACTCTACCGAACTTAAACAACATTAAAAAAAGAAGCCTTCAGAGCTTCTTGTGTCCTGGAAATTGACAAGAGTGGACTTTTGTAGCATGTGTCCTGTGCCCAGCATCGGTATCTGGACCGGCAGCATAACCCCAAGACACGGTGCCAGGCTGCGGTTCAATGCACCTCCCACTCCCAGGTGGTGGTCTTCTTTGCAACGTCCCTCTTTTGTTTCCAGTGTGAAATTCCCAATAGAAAAATCATCTGCCACCCTGAGGAATCTTCCAACTGGGCCAACAAATGGCACAGATCTTTGGTCCAAGTCAATTTAATCAGTTCCCCGCGGAGGCCTCTGAGGAGGGTCCGGAGGAAGTGCGAAGCTAAACTCACCAACGATCAATTGCCATGACTCACACTATAGACCAGACCCAGCCTATGCCCAGGCACACGTCCTGACCAGACAGACCCAACATCTAGAGCAGAGAGCAGAGGGCGCACCAGAAGAATACCACCATCCAGCTTTCCCTCGCTTTCAAACGAGAGGGTCTCAACAAAATCTGGTCTCCTAGGGGTTGTGACCTTCACCACCGCAATAGCACGAGGCTGTAGCTTCTTTTTCCTCTTTGGAAATACCCCTTGAACCCTACTAGTGAAAAATGCAGTCCCCGCTCCACCCAAGCCAGTGAGCCCACGCTCAGTACTCACCGAGGTTGGGGTGGCGGGCCGCTGGGTTGGCCCGGCCGGACAGACTGTGCAGAACCGGACTGTCGAAGGGGCTGGCGGAGGCAGCAGCTGCCGCGGCCCAGGACGCACCCACGTCAGCCATGTAGGCCGGGTAGGGGCTCGAGTATGAGCCTGCGAAGCCGGCGCGCCCATACTGCTCACGGCCCGGTAGGCCCGCACCTGCGGCCCCGCCGCCACTGCTGTAGGCTGCTGCTTCTCGGGCGGCTGCGGCAGCGGCAGCAGCTGCCAGAGACCCGGTGGTCCCAGGGAAGGAGAAGCGCGGCGAGACCGGTGGCGGAGTGTAGGCGGTTCCCTCGGCTCCTGCCTGGTTCCAGCCCGGGCTGCCCTGCTGAGTCCCAGGCCCCGCGCCGGGCGGAGCAGTTCCCGAACTGCCTCCGGATCCTGCTCCAGACGTAGAGCTACCGCCTCCCCCCTGCAGGTAAGACAGGCCCAGCACCGAGGATGGCACTCGGGGTGTGGGCACGTAGACCGGCGAGGACGCAGCACCCGCGCTGTGCATGAAGGCGCCCGGTCCGCCTGTCTCATAAGCCCCTGGAGGGGGGCCGTGGTTGGCGGCCATGGCCAGACTCTGGTACATCGTTACTGTTCTCTGCTTCTGAGTCCTCCCTGTCCCCCGTAGGCCAAGGTTCAAAGCGGAGAAAGAGAAAAATTAATAACAATAATAATACACAGGTGAGGGATTGTCAAGAAAACGAAAATTTAAAAATCAAAATGTAAAAAACACACAAATCCCTCAAAAATGTATACGTTTCACACAACAAATTTCAAATCCGGTCTTGAGCAAAAGACTTGCTAGGCTCTGGTTTACTCAGGAAAAAATTCCAAATTGAAAATTTTGTTTCCGGGCGGTAGAGCCGGAGGGGAAGAATGCACGTCCGGCGCTGGAGGTAAGAGTCTTGTGATGGCAGAAGACAACCACTTGTCCTAGAGGCCACCAGCCAGAGTGGTGCCTAAGCGCGGGGTGTGGGGCCTGGGCCTGTTGGTCACCCGTTCATCACACCGCGAGGCTTTCGTTAAGTTGCGCCCCGTTGTTGTGCACTAGTTCCAGGGACCTGTGGCCCCAGTTGCTGAGTCCTGTAAGCAGAATCTCAATGCCGAAGGCTCTTGCAGCCAGTCCTAAAGTAGGAAGAAAAGGGAAAGAGAAGTCATCGGAATTTTCGTATTTTACATTTCCTGTGCTTGGGTGCCTCTCCGGAGCTGCAAACTAAATGAAATCACCACTCTCCCGGCCCAGGTTCAGAGGTGGGGGCAGTACGTACCGGAGGGTAAAACCTTTATTTTGCTTGTTTTTGCTCATTTTTGCTTCTGTCTACAGAAAGAGGAAACCTCAGAAGGGGTGTCCTGGGGATACGGAGCTTCCTAGTTCTTGAGCATTGTTGTTAAGTGCCATGGAGTTGTCTCTGACTCACAGCGACCCTGTATAGGCTTTTTTTGAGAGCGGCTGGTGGGTGGGTTTTAACTGCTGACCTTGTGGTTATCCTACAAGACCACACCAGGGTTCTTGAGCACAGGAGTTAGTTATTGGTTGTGATATAGGTAAAATATTTTTATATTTCTTGCTAGGCAGGACTTTAACTTTACCTTATTTTTCAGATATATTTTTTACACCGTATTTTATAAGACCAAGACCAAGTGTGCATGGAGTGCCTTGGGATCCAGATCTCATTCCTCTGTCCTGTTTCCCTCATCATTCCGTAAACATTCCTAGATGTGAAAGAACTCTAGATTTCCCCAGGGCAGCCCAACACACTTTATAAAAACCAGCAATCTAGGAAATCTGATTTGTAATTTTTTTTTTAAACTAGACCATCAGGTAGTCTAAATGTTTATAAATGAACTAAAGTATCTGCTAATCATATGAAAAGAATTGTGAAATCCCTTACACCATTGGATGCCAAATCAGACAAGTGGTAGGTTTCTTGTAAATAGTTATATTTTAGAGATTTTGCAGATTGGACATTGGGACCATAAAAATGACAAGGTCATTTTACAGAAATATTCACTGGAGAATTCAAACTGATTGTTTATATACAAGGAGCTTCAAAAAGTTTAGGAAAAAATGGAATGGTAAAATCACTGGAAAAACAGTACATGGAATCAGAAAACAAATGAGACTGCTTGGGAAAGAATTTTCTAGGACTTGATTATATGAACATACTGTGCTTGGGGTTTTATCTGACAAGTTCTTAAGCACCTGCTCTGTTCCAGGCATTTTTCTCCACAACTCCACTAAGTAAAGGTCTCTTTCTCCATTTCATAAAAGAGGAAACAATAGCACTGGAAAGTTCTGAAACTTGTGTAAGATCAAAGTACAATTAGCTAAGTGTGGGGAATGAGTCTGCAGGTCTCCTAGGATATGAAGTTGTCTACTACATCCATCTGCAGAATCCTTTAAAAGGCAGTTCCCTTAACAGTGTTTTGCTTTCCCCATTGCTATAGTAGACTTAAAAGGTCCTTTGGTGTTGCCTTGTAGGCTAATGTGTCAGACTGCAAAGTTGTTTGAACTGCAAAGGTAGGTAGTTCAAGCGCACCAGCTGCTCCTTGGGAAACCTATATAGGGTCGCTATGGGTCGGAATTGACTTGACAGCACTTAACAACTAACTATGCTAAATGCATGTATGTCAAATACTCAATAAGTGACTTAAGGCAAACTATTAAACCTTTATGAATCCATTTCCTCCTCTGTAAAATGCAGATTTTAAAGGTACCATCATGTAAAAACACTGTGGAGACTAGAGTGAGCATTACAAAATAATTTAGGTAAATTACAGCTTAATTTACACACTGTTTGAATGCCTCCATGGAACAAAGAAAGTTCATATAACTTGCTGTTAAGTGAATGGGTTCCCAATTCATAGCGACCCGGTAAATTTTTTCGGGAACAGAAATCCTCGTCTTTCTCCTGCTGAGTGGCTGGTGAGCTCAAACTGCCAACCTTGTGTTTCCCAGTCCAGTGTTTATCTTAAGTAATAATAATAACAGATTTCTAATGTATCACAGGAGTCCTAGTGAGGCACTGTGGGTTAATGCGCTGGACTGCAAAGTCAGTTTCAACTGCACTGTGGGCAATATGTGTAATAATGTGCAGATATGTAATATGTGCAATAATGAATGACAATTATTATTATTATTGTAAAATTCTGGAATTGGAACTTATAATACACAATATGTATGGGGTTTTTTGTACACCATTTTTGCAACATCACTAATGAAACATAATAAAACTAATTACACTAATATATAGTCAGTAACTTCTAAATAATTTTTTATTAGCTAATAAATTTATTGGTTTGGTGGGCATTTTCTTTAAGCAAGAAATTTAGCTAGAGGGTGGAAAATACTTGTTATAAGATCACCAGTTTTCCCTTTGGAAAATGAAGGCAGAAAATTAATACCTCCTAAGAATCTCTGGGCTTCAATAAGTAAATAGCCTTACCTTAATAAAATAGTAGTATTTAACTTTTCAATCAAGTAAACCACAGGGTCAGCAGTTCGAAACTACCAGCTGCTCTGTGGGAGAAAGATGAGGCTTTCTGCTCCCATAAAGATTTATAGCCCCGGAAACCCTGTTCAGGGTCGCTATGGGTCGGAACTGACTCCACGGCACTTAACAACAACAACAACAACAAGGAAAAGAGGGCCATTTATAATTCTGTAATACAACTTCCAGTGTAGCTATAAGGTGCTAACTTCAAAGCTTTAAAATGCAAACGCTAAAAATGTTATATGTCTAACACATATCTTTATGACATTCTCTGTCTTTTTAATAACTTCAGAGTTGGATTTCTGGAACAAATAAAAAGTGAAGAAAATAGCTCTCTCTGCATTTCCGGAAGACAAGAAATGTCTTCAAATAGTCGCACTGTTCCTAAAATTGAACAGCATCTGCCTGTTCCTAGGTATCTGCAGCGAAATTCACAATTGAGAGGTCTAACCAGGAGGTAGAGAGCCTGGTCAGAGCCTCAATCTTCCCTCTCCAATTCACCCTGTTCACCCCAAATTCATAATTCGACAGGAAATGCTTTTTCCTTCAGGATTTAACCAATAGCTCTTCTCGGATCTAGTTCTGAGTGGGAGGATTTCATTCACGGGTAATGCCTGTTCTTTGGGCACCAAATGCTCAGACTAGCCTGCAATACTAGAGCTCTGAAGTTTTAGGAGCATCTTTCCTTCACCTATAGACAATGAACTTTCCTTAAAACTCCGAGAAACCTGCCCTTAATTGATGGTCTTATTTCTGAGAAATATGGAAAATACTACCCCAGGGGCTTCCCCCAGTCTTCCCAGTGACCGCGGGCTGTGCTGTGCTGGGACTCTGTAGGGTCTCGGATTCCCTGTCACCCTCATTCTCTCAAACATCATTGAGGCTCACCTCAACACTCGAGTGTCAGCATATACCCAGGGAAAATCCAACCCCAAATCAAAGCCAAGCTGCACATGATCGTCGATACGGGCACCTACCGGTGGCCTGCGAAGGGACATTACTCTTCCCCGCATCCGTCCTGCCAATGGTTAGTTTCACCAAGCAGCAGTTTGGGTGGGGATAGGGTCGCTAGCTTTGTGCGGGTGTTAAATCCCCCAGACCACAGTTGGGAAGGTGAAGAGGCTGGTTGTTGTTGTTGTTATGTGCTGTGGAGTCGGTTCCGACCCATAGCGACCCTATACAAGGCTTCCAAGGCTGTAAATTTTCACGGGAGCAGAAAGTCTCATCTTTCTCCCACGGAGCAGCTGGTAGTTTCGAACTGCTGACCTTAAGGTTCGCAGCCCGATTCGTAACCACTACGCGAAGAGGCTGGCTAGGAAGGATTCAAAAAGTCCTGCTAGTCTAACAGCCGTTCCTGGGAGCCTGAGGCCCAAATGCTCTGTCTCCCACCACCACTCGGCGTACGCGGAGTTGCGGTGGGCGACAACCCACCCGTGTGCGCTTCTCTGGGGGAATGATTTCACACTGCTACATTCACCACGGGGACTGTGAGGTGTCAACAAAGTATGGAGAATTCACATGGGGGGGGCGTGGTGGGATTTAAAGTGTCCAAATTCCCACAGCAAGTATTTAAACCCAAATATCCTTCTCTGTTTCCAGCCTAAGACTTGCTTTAAAGAAGTTGCTGAGTCAAAATCCCCCCCCAAAAAAGAGCAGGTTCTGGCCAATTTTGAGGTGGCTGGTCTCTGATGTTTCCTTTTCACCTACTAGGTACACGTCCCTACTTTCAGGAAAACAGGCGCGATGGAGCTAGGAGTTTCTCCACCTCAGGGAGAAGGAGAAGGGTGAAGGAAGAGAAATAGTCATACCTGCCTGGGACTCGAGTTTCCTGGAAGGCCGGGCTACCTGGGCACCTTCGGAGAGCTGAGCGCGCGCTTCCCTGGGCGCCCCCGCAACTCCAGCGGTGGCAGGGACCGGAGCTGCTGTGGCGGGTTTCTCACAGCCACAGTGCCAGCCGCCTCCGAGTCCCCCTAGCTCACCGCGCGGTTCCCTTTGCCCCTGCACTCCCTACTTGCCCCGCGCTGACTGGCCTATGGGAGTCACGTGGACGGGCGGAGGGGCGGGGGTGAGCTGCAGCGGTTGCACCACGGTTGGGCTCCAGCCTGCAGGGCTGAAAAAAAAAAACTCCCCCAACAGGCAAAGTCCAAGCTTAGGGAT